CCAATCCATACGATGTCCCGAAATGACTAACAACGAGGTCGAGTACGAAGCTGTGATTGCAGGATCGAAATTAGCCCTCAAATATGGCGCTCGACGACTCGTCTTACATTGCGACTCCCAACTCGTGATGAATCAAGTCACTAGGACTTTCCAAATCAAAGAACCGAGACTGCAAAAGTACAAGTCAGAAATCCGCAAACTACTACCAGAATTTGATGATGCCGCCTCGACCAGATACCTAGGGCGCAAAATGCCGAAGCAGACGACCTCGCCAAATTAGCGGCAACCACCACAAGTATCAATAAAGAAAATGTGGCCACCCTCCTACATTCCTTGATAGATCAGGTCGAGGTACATTCTATAAATCTGACTTGGGGCTGGCGCAATCGTATCGTAACTTATCTGCAGGAAGGAACGCTCCCGCAAGATAAGAAAGAAGCCAAAAAGCTCCGAATACAGGCGGCCAGGTACAGCCTCTTGAATCATGACCTTTACAAAAGGACGTTCGGTGGCCCCTTGGCCAAATACCTCGGACCAAACCAAACGTGGCGGGTATTAGAAGAAGTACATGAGGGGCACTGTGGTGCTCATACAGGAAACCGTGCCCTCGTCAGATGCCTCATCCGTGCGGGATACTACTGGCTCACCATGAAAAAAGAAGCCGCAGACTACGTCAGAAAATGTGAACAATGTCAAAAATACGCCCTTATGATACACCAAGCAGGAGAACTACTGCACTCTGTCACTTCGCCATGGCCGTTCATAAAGTGGGGAATGGATATTGTCGGACCCCTTCCAGCAGGGCGAGGTAAGGTACGCTTTCTTTTGGTTTTAACTGACTATTTTTCTAAATGGGTGGAAGCAGGTGCATACACGCAGATACGTGAGCAAGAACTTATCGCATTCATATGGAAAAACATAATATGCCGCTTTGTCATTCCTAAAGAAATCAGTTGCGACAACGGACCCCAGTTCGTTGGAAAGAAAACAACCGAGTTCTTTAAAAAATGGCACATCAAGCGTATACTCTCCACACCATACCACCCTGCCGCCAACGGTCAAGCCGAGTCTTGCAATAAAACGATATTGAATATATTAAAGAAGAAGCTCGAGGACGCCAAAGGGTTATGGCCTAAACTACTGCCAGAATTACTATGGGCATATCGCACCACGCCAAAAACCAGCACAGGCGAAACGCCATACTCCTTGGTCTACGGGATTGATGCGGTTATACCCGTCGAAGTCGGAGAACCTAGCCTGAGATACTCCAACGAGAGCGGACCAAGTAACGACAAAAGGAGATTACAAGACCTGGATGAAGTCGAGGAGTGAAGGGACATAGCTCACATAAGAATGGTAGCCCAAAAACAACAAGCAGAGAGGTACTATATCAGGAAAGCGAAAATACGCCACTCAAGGTTGGAGATTACGTTCTCAAGCTAAAACACAGGCAGCAAAAGACCCTAATGAGGGAAAGCTAGGAACAAATTGGGATGGGACATACAAAATCACAGCGTCAGCGAACAAAGGAGCGTTTCAGTTAGAGACGATGGAAGGAAAACTACTCCAAAATAATTGGAATGTCGCCCATCTAAAATACTTCCACTTCTGAAAAAAGGTGCCCCTAAGTCGTACTCTTTTTCCCTCATCCGGGTTTTGTCCCAATCGGGTTTTCTCGGTGAGGTTTTTAATGAGGCGGAAAAGGAGATGCCTTGAGGTCCGAAGTGTTGTTCATTACTCCGCCCGTCGATATAATCTCCAGGCCGAGTAATAAAGGGACTGCGCATAGATAGCCAAATCTCCATTGTATGTACAAAGTCAACGCGTATCTTCTACGATAATATAATCAAATCTCCAATGTATGAATGAAACTAGCACCCACTATACTCCAACGAACAGAATAGAAGGCCATCCTTACGATGGGATGCTACTTCGATGCCAGCTTGAAAGTAACATCCCACTGGCTAAGGCCATCGACTAAGAAACGTGTTCGACCTCGCTCGAACTACGACGGGATACCTACTTCGACGCCAGCTCAAAAGTAACATCCCACTGGCTAAGGCCCTCGACTAAGAAACGTGTTCGACCTTGCTTGAACTACGACGGGATACTACTTCGACGCCAACTCAAAAGTAACATCCCACTGGCTAAGGCCATCGACTTAGGAACGTGTTCGACCTCGCTCGAACTACGACGGGATACTACTTCGATGCCAGCTCGAAAGTAACATCCCACTGGCTATGGTCATCGACTAAGAAACGTGTTCAACCTCCCTCGAACTACGACGGGATAGTACTTCGACGCCAGCTCGAAAGTAACATCCCACTAGCTATGGCCATCGACTAAGAAACGTGTTCGACCTCGCTTGAACTACGACTGGATATAATCTTGACGCCAGCTCGAAAGTAACATACCACTGGCTAAGGCCATCGACACAAAAAAAAAGAGAAAGAGTCCGACCTCACTCGAAATAAAATCGATTTGACAGCCGACAAATGCGCAGAATGCCATGAAAATTACAAAGGTTGCCGCCAAATAAACAAAACAATTTCTTCATTACAACAAATTGTTACTGGCACCTATCTTTACAATGGGCTCAAAGACGCCCTTACAAAAATCCTACGACAAAAATAAGTACAAACAAAATTTTTATGCAGCATCAGCGCTACCGTACACATCTTCATACCAAGAGTCGGAAGCAAGAGGGTTTGCATCGTCCGAATTAATGTCATCCCCGTCAGGTGAAAGAGGCTCGTACCTGCATTCCTCATGAGCTGTATGAGCTTTGGCACGCACATCCCGAAGCTCGGCTTCAGATACCCTCCCCTCGGCATGAAGAGCCTTGTAAACATCGAGCTTGGCCTCAGCATGAACCTATAACTCATATAAACAACGAGGGACACCCAAATCGGCTGAAGCACGGGACGTAGAAGGTTGCGAGTTTCGGCGCACGTCTTCCGCCCACAATGACGCCATCTGCCCGGTCATTGCGGATAACTCCACCTCCAGCTCCTTTACACGTCCCTCGACCATGCTACCTTAAGTCCTAATTGATTTTAGATCGAGCGAGCCTACATTAGTAGAGATTTACATCAAGAGCAAGCTTATGGTACCAATTGCATGCATGTGACTTCTTTTGTGAGGGTGAGCGATTTTCTTTGATATATGTGAGCATGAAATTCGAATATGTGGATTGATTCTACTTTCTTTGCTGTGATTGTGAGGGCATGTGACTCGTGAAGGAAAAGCAAGTCTTGAGTTCTGTGTAGAGTACTTTGAGGAAGTGTGAATATTGCTTGGCACTTGAGAGTCGACTTTTGAGGCTGAGATTGTTCACTACTAGGCGTAGCATATGTGAATTGTTCTGGGTGTAAGGCGTTAAGGGAAATTGTTGAGTGGAACCTCTAGAGAGTATAGTTTGATTGCTCGAGGACGAGCAATGAATTAAGTGTGGGGTGTTGATAATAGGCTAAGTCTAGGTGATTTGGCGATTGTTTATGCTCCCGCTTGATTATGTTTCAATGTCATAATATGGTTAAATGATGAAAAATGGGCTCTAATTGTGAATTTTACACATTGCAGGATGGTGAGCCTATATGATGCCTTAAAGTTGTGATTGGAGTTGCATTGGAGCAAGAAAGACCCCTCGGAGCTGAGTGCGCGCAAAGACTAGACAAAGAATTGAAGAAAAAATAGCCTGAACTAGCGCGAGCTCTAGCGCGAGGACTAGCGCGATCGCGCTAGTCTAGAAGCGGGAGGCAGAATGTCAGGAAACTAGCGCGAACTCTAGCGCGAACATTAGCGCGTTCACGCTAGTCCCAGTTCTGGAAAAGATTTGTTAGGGGCAAAATTGGAAATCTGGAGGAAATTTCACTTAACCTATATAAAGTCAAGCTCGCTCAAGGATTAGATTTGAAGGTTCATAGTTTAGTACAAGAAACATAGAGGCAAGAGGCAAGGAGGAAAATCCAACATCAAGTTCTTCTTTTCTTCTTCTTATTTTTACGTTTTGAATGAAATTAAATATTATTGAGATGAATACTGCTATGAGTGGCTAAGACTTATTGTTCTAGGGTCATGGGTGATACATGATTGTTGTTGTTCAGCGTTTAATTTAACAAAGTTGGTATAATCATATTGGGTTGTTTATTTAATTCTGTTCTCAATTATTTTGCTGAGTAGCTAACAGTGGAATACTATCTACGAATCTATAGTTGAACTCGAAAGTGGGAACTTTGGATTGCATATAGAATTAAATAGAGCAAGTTCTTGAACCTGGGCATCGGGGGACGGATTCGCAATTAGGATAGACATATACCTAATTGTCTTGCTTGGTTGAAATACAGGATTTATAAATGCGTTCTTGTTGATTCTAACTCCATAGACATATAAGCGTTAGGTTAACTTGAATAGGCGAGTAAGAACTCGACAGATTCTTATGAGCAATATTAACCCTGTCAATCAACAACCTAGATAAATCAATTAGTTATTTTAAGCCAAGAACGCAACATGATTGTTAACTAGCCCGTGACCTTGGAATACTCTCCTCTACTGATTGTCATTCGAAATTGCTATTTGTTTGGTTGATTATTTTAGTTAGTTTATTAATTGATATTTTTAGGTAGTAAATTAAAGACAAATATCTTCTGTGAAAAAAATCTCTTGGATCGATAAGTTAATTGAGTTTAAATCAGTCAATAGTTAATCACAAGTCTTCGTGGGAATGATACTCTACTCACTACTTTATTACTTGACGATCATGTGCACTTGCGTGTGCGTTTGGCCGCAACATGTATGAATGCAATCTTCAGAAAATCAAGCTTTACGATCATGCATGTTCTTCATTCTCCATTCCTCCATATGAATTTCATCGGAATCAATTCAAAACCCCACGTGTTACTTCAAACTCTAGTATAAATTCTTGAAAAAATGTCAAATTTTTAAATCACAATAGATGCTAGTCTCATCTTAAATAAAATTTTAACTAAATCTTAAACACTATGGGGCTGTTTCACTCTCAATCGTCTTCCTCTCCTTTAAAAATGAATATGGGGAACTCCATCACCGACCAAACGGACCTTTCTTTCCTGCTTGCTAAACACGTTTTCTCCAGAGAGATTACAGGTGATTCGAACCTGGTGTTCTCTCCTCTCTCAATTCAATTAGTCCTTAGCCTAGTTGCCGCTGGCTCTAAGGGTCCAACACAGAACCAGCTGCTCTGTTTCCTCAAATCCAAATCTATTAATGACCTCAACTCACTTTACTCTCATCTTGTCGATATCATTTTTGTTGATGGCAGCTCCGGAGGAGGTCCACGTTTGTCGGTTGCAAATGGTGTTTGGATCGATCGATCACTTTCTCTGAAGCCTTTTTTCAAACAGGTGGTGGACAAAGTTTACAAGGCAACTTCCATGTGCCTGATGTTCATGTTTTTTTGTCGTTAATTATTAGATTACCCACGTTTATATCGTTATAGACTAGGTGATGTGGTAAAGGCAAAAGGCTTTCACAATGGAACACCAGAACTCCAATTTGTTTGGAGAAGGAACCTTTTTGCTATGTATTAACATTGACAAAAACACAGAGAAAGATTTACAACTAGCTGTAGAAGCTGCATCAAAGCGCTTAGTAGACGAAAAACTAGAAGTGGTGGACTTCACGAGCCATGTCAACGTCTCAGCTGACATAAAACAAAAACTTCAGCTCTAGAGCTGAAGTTCCCCAGTTACAAAGACAAAAACTTCAGCTCTAGAGCTGAAGTTGCCCAGTTACAAAGACAAAATTCTTCAGCTCTAGAGCTGAAGTTCCCCAGTTACAAAACAAAAACTTCAGAGCTGAAGTTCGCCAGTTACAAAAACAAAAACTCGCCAGTTACAAAATAAAAACTTCAGCTCTAGAGCTGAACTTCAGCCCCGGCTACTAGAATGCTGAAGTTTTGCGTGATTGCCTTTGCTACTTCAGCCCCGTAAGCTGAAGTTATGCGAAAAAGCGGGTACGCTTGCAATTTTTTTGGCAAAGCGGGCACAAATTAAAACGTGACACAAAAAACGGGTATAGATGCAAATGCCCCTTAATTCTATGTATTCTTATATTGTCACCAACCAGGGAGGCCCAACATTGTTGGTGGCCTAAAGCAAAATCTCAATGAGAGGCCCTAATTTGTTAACAAAATAAATTTATATATTTTTGTTTGAAGTCTATTTTCTTTAACCTTTTTAGATGCAAAGTTATTAATAATTTTCTTATAACGAGTTATTCTCCTGAAACATTGTTGATCCTGTGCAAAATTGTTATAGGAATACTATTTTATGAGGAATATAGGTATTTGAAAAAAAAATCAAGTCTTGTTATCTTATTGAGTATATCCATCAGAGTATCTTCTACTCGTAATATTTTCTTTAACGTTATATAATTTAAAAATAAGTCTAAACTACCATATGAGACTATTATGTTTTTAACGAGGCTAAGGCAATTTTTTTTTGAAATTCTTAGTATCTTGAGATCTCAAATTTTACCCACTAAATAAAAAATCAAAGATACATACCCTTTAGATTATTCAAATCTCAACGATCACCGTGAGTAACAAATTAAAATTTTCTTTTCCTTTTTGTATTAAAATTTTTACTTTTTAACGTTAAGATACTCAATTTTTTACTAAAAAAAAATATAAAATTAGAAAAATAACATCGTATAGTCGCTGTAAAAATAATAACCGAAAAAATAGATATACATTCTGTATGTTATATACAAAAAATACAAAAAAAATTATATACTTTTTCGGCTACCACATATAAATAGCTTCTGACGTGGGCTAAAAGTGATAATACCCCTATAAAATTACTACCAATGGAAAGTGGGGCCTCCAAAATTTGGGGTCCCAAAGCCAATGCTTGGGCTGCCTTACCCTTCAGCCGGCTTTGTCACCAACATTTTTGCTGATGGAAGCCCCAGTGGAGGTCGGATTTTGTCCGTTGCTAATGGTGTTTGGATCGACCGATCACTGCCTTTTAAACCTTCATTTAAAAAGGTTGTGGATGAAGTTTACAAGGCTAGCTGCTTCAGAGTCTGTTGATTTTCAGTACAAGGTTAGTCGTTCATTCATAATTCACCAACTCTAGCTGATTAATTTCTTTCATTGAAATTTGTGAAAGCATTTTTGCGAACTTTATGAACTGCTATGATCGGTTTTATGGACATGAATAAAACGTAATTGATACAAATAATTCATAATTAATTTGACTTTGAAGTTTTACTCTTTGTTGAATGGTTGAAAGCTTTTACAGTATATGTGCGAGTAATACTTTATTGAGGCAAATGAGGAGGGAACTGAAGCTGCAGCTGTTATAAATTACTGCTGCTAAAGCACGAGTAGTGTGTTGTAAAATCGAGAAGCCAAAAGATTTTGTTGCGGACCATCCATTTGTTGCTGTTCAGATTCATAGTTCGATCTTTTTGTTATTTAGAATATTAGAGAGATAGAGAGAGGACTTGTGACAATACCTTCTTATACCTATATGAAGAAAGTACATGTCTATTCTTTTACATCTGAGATTCATATGAATGAATAATAGTGTTACATTCAAAAAAATGGAAGGACTCCTCCCTTTTACAATATTCAAATATGTAATGATAGGGAAGACTTCCCTTTAAAATCATTTCGAATCAATCGTAAAAGAATTGTTAAACTTATTAACTTAATGGCATATGTCTAAACTTACACCAAAATTCCAACTTAAGTGCATATGTCTCAACTTTTCATCATATCACCCGTTCAACTAATAATTCCACATGTGTTAAACCTTAATCTACAAAATATCACCAAATTAGCGAGAAAACTATGCTATTCTCCATCTTGTACAAACATTAAAATAATTTAGAAATAATTTTGTAAGATAGAACAATTTCAGAGGAAAAACAATTTATGAAGGGGAGCGTTGGAGCAACGGTAAAGTTGACTTTGGTCACGGGTTCAAGCCGTGAAAGCAGTCACAAATGCTTGCATTAGGTTAGGCTGTCCACATCACACTCCTTGGGTGCGGGTGCGGCCTTTCCCTGGATCGTGCCTGAATACTGGATGCTTTGTGCACCGGACTCCTCTTTTAGAGGAAAAACAATTTATGTTATACCAGATACACAATAAAAAAGAACAAAAATATTTGCTTAATTTGGACGCCAGAATATCAAGTGTTATTTATTTGAGACAGAATGCATTGATTCTCTTCTTGTTGGGCTACTCTCTGATGCCTACCTCAGCTAGGACATAATCTCCTTTCTCCATATTTTGTGCACGAAGAAGATGACTTAATTTCCAAGCTACGTGCTTCAATCTCTGTACTTGGTGTTTTTATTCAAGTATCCACTCAATAAACAACAATATCTTGACTCTAGCTACTTGTTGAAAGTGAGTGTTAACGTGTGTTCCCTTCCTCTGTTCTTTCTTGTGTATGAACGCAATCTTCTGAAAATCAAAGCTTAATTATCAAACTTTTAATTTCTTTATTCATCATTTCTCCATATGGGTTTTGCGGAATCGAATTCAAATTCAAAACCCCACATGTTAAGTATCAGTAATTGTACATAAATTCTTGAGAGCTTTCATCTTTGTGATAAATTTGCCCGTCAAGGGACACTCTCACTCACATTCTTCTCATTCTCACTCAACTAAGTCTTCCAATGATCAAAATATGGATATGGGGGAATCGATCACCACCCAAACGGACGTTTCTTTCATGCTCGCTAAGCATGTTTTCTCCAAAGAAGTTAAGGACGATTCCAACCTTGTGTTTTCTCCTCTTTCAATTCAAATTGTTCTTGGTCTGATTGCTGCCGGCTCTAAGGGACCAACTAAGGATCAGCTGCTATGCTTCCTCAAGTCCAAATCTATTGATGAACTCAACTGTCTTTATTCTCATCTTGTCAATATCGTCTTTGTTGATGGCAGCCCCAATGGAGGTCCGCGTTTGTCCGTTACTAATGGTGTTTGGATCGACCAATCACTTCCTTTTAAGCCTTCTTATAAAAAGGTTGTGGATAAAGTTTACAAGGCTGCTGCAGAGTCTGTTGATTTTCAGTACAAGGTTAGGCCTTTATTCATTTGTTTCATTCAAATCTTGTTTCTTTTATGCTGAGGTTCAATTTTCTTTGTTCATGCTGACTGAAAACTGGTTGGTTAACTATTATAATTGACCCTATATATATACTACTCTCATCATAAGCCCTCCAAATACTATCATATAAAATGGACATGGATAATACATATAATAAACTACAATTAACTTGGGGTTGAGGTATAGTTGATTGATTTATTGATTAGGCAATGACTTTAAAATATTGAAAAGTGTTAAACAATTTGTACAGAGGCTGTGTTGCTTAGCATTTTGATCATTCTAGCCTCAAGTAGTATAAAACCAAATACTGTCAATTGTTATAAAACCAAATACTGTCAATTGTTGAAACCCGTTTGGAATTGGGGTATTTTCAATTTTAGCTCGTGCTAGAAACTATTTATATTCGGTAGCCGAAAAAGTGTGTAAATTTTTTGTATAACATGCAGAATGTATATATATATATATATATACCCAATGTGCAAATATATGCCCAATCAGTGCTTAAAATATACCACGTAAAGCATCCAAATTCTCACTTACCCCTTGCAAGTACTGTAATCAATTTTCTTACTACAACTCCCTTTGTTGGCTAAAGCATATAGTATGTGCTAATTCTGTCGTACACTATGTTTGTCTTGCTAAATATTGACTAAGGCTGCTGAGGTTGCCAATCAAGTTAATCAGTGGGCTAAAATGAAGACAAATGATCTCATCAAAGAGATTCTTCCACATGGAACAGTAAACAATATGACAAGGCTCATCTTTGCAAATGCATTATATTTTAAAGGAGTATGGAATGACAAGTTCAATGCTTCAGAAACAAAAGACCATAAATTCCATCTCCTCAGAGGAGGGTCTATTAAAGCGCCGTTCATGAGTAGCAAGAACAAGCAATATGCAGTAGCCTTTGATGGCTTCAAAATGTTGGGACTTCATTACAAACAACGCAAAGATATGCGTCGTTTCTGCATGTATTTAATTTTGCCAGATGCTCGTGATGGATTACCAGCTCTATTGGACAAGATTAGTTCAGAACCTGGATTTTTAAATCATCACATTCCGTTTGAAAAGGCTAAAATGCGCAAGTTTCTTATCCCTAAATTCAAAACAACTTTTGGTTTTGAAGCTTCTAATGTTCTAAAGGGACTTGGCCTCACATTGCCTTTCTCTGGTGGTGGCCTTACTGAGATGGTGGATTCCCCGTTAGCTGGCAGGTTGTTTGTTTCACAGATTTTTCACAAGTCCTTCATCGAGGTAAATGAAGAAGGAACTGAAGCTGCAGCTGTTACAGCTAGTGTACCAAGTCCTTGATAATTGAGAAGGAAATGGACTTTGTTGCTGACCATCCATTCCTATTCCTTATAAGAGACGAATCTACTGGTGTTGTGTTATTCATAGGGAGCGTGCTGAATCCTCTAGCTGGTTAGCCCACTGAAGCAACAAAGAAATCTGGAAGGAAAGAAAGCAATATGAATCTCTGAACTCGCATCATTGCAATGATAATATAAAGCTTAAGTTAGCATGGTGAGATCTTATATTTGTAAAGAAGGATTGATCTATACTGGACACGGATAAGTGTTATGTATCTAAATAACCAGTTTC